TTCCAGGAAGGACATGTACAAGAGGAAATACTCGGCCACTAAATCCAGAATTGAAAAGAAAAGGAGAAGGTTCCTGCGACTGTCACAAAACCGGTTGGTGGAGACAAGAATGGTGGTACCAAGGTGGTTAAACTGCGCAAAGTGCCTGGGTACTATCCTACTGAAGATGTGCCTCGAAAGCTGTTGAGCCACGGCAAAAAAAAACCCTTCAGTCAGCCTGTGAGAGAGCTGCGAGCCAGCGTCATTCCCGGGACCATCTGGTCATCCTCCCTGGACACCACAGAGGCAAGAGAGTGGTTTTCCTGAAGCGGCTGAGCGGTGGCTTGCTACTGTAACTGGACCGCTGGTTCTCAATCGAGTTCCACTGCATAGAACACACCAGAAATTTGTCATTGCCACCTCCACAAAAATTGATATTAGCAAAGTAAAAATCCCAAAGCACCTCACCGATGCTTACTTCAAGAAAAAGAAACTGTGGAAGCCCAGACACCAGGAAGGTGAGATCTTTGACACAGAGAAGGAGAATACGAGATTTCAGAGCAGTGCAATGATGATCAGAAAGCTGTGGACTTGTAAATTTTACCAAAAATCAAAGCTGTTCCTCTGTTCCAGGGCTACCTGCGATCCATGTTTGCCCTTACAAATGGAACTGATCCTCGCAAATTGGTGTTCTAAGTTTTTTGCCAAGAACCTAACTAAGTAACTGATCAGGGAAAAAAAAAAAATCTTGGGGTGGTGTGGTGGTTAAGGGCATTGGACTCCCATGTGGCTGACTGCAGTTCCAGTCCTGGACCCTGTCACTTGCTTTCTCACTTTCCCTTTCTCACTCTGTCCCTATCTAGTCAAATTTAAATAAATATATAAATAAAGTTAAATAATTCTTAAAAAAAAAAAGAAACCTCTATGGCTTATCTTGGTCCATTTGGCCTCCTAAAACAAATATAACATAGGGGCCACCAGGTGGCTTAGTGGCTAAGGTACTGGACTCCCACACGGTAGACTGCGGTTCAAGTCCCAGACCCAGTGGCTTAAAACTGAGATGGGGCCCATGTGTATACTTACCTAAAATCCTGAGAGAATGAAGGTGAAAGGATTGCAGTATGGCTATCCCCCCAGGGGAGTGATTTCTCACTTTCTCTCTCTCTAGCAAGTACATATGCCCTACAGCAAAAATCAGTTTACTCAAGAGTATATCAGTTAGTAAAACACAGCTTGCCCACACAGCATTGTTGAGTGTTCCTCATCTGCAAGAGCTCTAACAGGAGTCTACCCAGCTCGGGTGCAGGGAGAAAATCCACATAGGGTAGGAGAGGGAATCACCCTAGTGTAGAAGCTCCAATGCACTATAGAAGCCAGTATCTCTAGTAGCCAGAGCTTCCAGAATCTCCACACACAGAGGGCAGCTTTAAGAGTAACTGCAGCTCTGGCTTCCAATAAGGTATTCACAATTCCTCTCTCTAGATATAATTTACCAATCATATATAATTTTTTTAACAGTGCTTCCTGGGAAATAGCTAGACTTGACCAAGAGTCAAATTCTGTTAAAAGGGAAGAGGGTTGGTTAATTCTTTATCCTCAGATGTCATATCTCTCATAAAATAAACACAAATCAAGTTTTGGGTTTTCTTTTAAAAATCAGCTTTATAGGCTGGCTCTGTGACACAGGAATAATGTGCTGTCAAGAGAAGCCTTATCCCACATGGCAACTGTGGTTCAAATCCCCAGTCCAGTCGGCTCAAAACGTGCCAGGCACATGTGTGAGTACCTAGTTCAACGAGCCAGGACTAGAGGAAGGGGGTCCCAGTGTGATTAGACTCTGTGGAAGGTACTCATCTCTCACTCACATCCTTTCACGTACACGTACACTACATCACAAATAAAGAAAAATAAATTCAATAAGCCTTCAACTGCTTTCAGAGTATCCTGAGGGGATTACAACTGTTCTACTGGGTAGCAAGTGGAACACCAGGTTTATGTGCAATATGATGGCATATGTTTTTTTCTTTACTATCTTCCTCCTTCTAGTATTACTTCTCTGATTTAAAATTTATCTCAGAATGTGACAAGGAAAATGAAAATTGTTTCAGAAAGTGATTCTGCCACTCCCTTTATATTTATTCTTTCTTATCTAAATTGGTTTCCTCCCCACTTTGTACCTCACCAACATTCTTCAAGTATATATACCCTACAGATAAGGGAGTCAGAAATAGCAGGCATAAAGAAAAAAATTTTAATTAAAAAATTACTTGAGATATTTGTAAACATGCATGCAAAACTACTCTTACAACACACAAAAAAGAGGCAAGTTCTAAAAGCCATCAGTAACATGAGGCCTTTCATTTCTCATACAAACAAAATAAACACATATGTAAGAAATGTGTGTGTGTGTGTTTAATCTGTCAGAGTGTGTACACTTGCCAGAGAGAGACAAAGAGAGAGGGAGAGAGAGAAAGCATCTCCCAATGGGGCATGGTCACACCACAATCCCTTTTCCTCCATTTCTCCATCCTGTCTGAATTTGGAGCATGCATGAACATGTGCCCAGTGTGGTTTTTCTTTTTCTTTATTTTTTTTTGCCATATGGTGTGTGCACTCACCAAAGAGAGACAGAGGGAAAGTGAGAAATCACCCATGGGGGGTAGGGGAAGGCATAGAGAACATTAACACATTTGATCTTATTTTATCTACATAGCAATTAAAATATCTTGATGCTGGTTTTACAAACTCGGCCCAGGTGCACAGCCAAGAACACTGGAGCCAATGATGTAAGTAAAGATTCCATGCAGGTTTTGGTCTCCAAATATCTTGTGTATACATACCACTGAGGCTACCTTTGAAAACATTTACCTCCCCTGTGCACCCAGGGAGCTTTATAATTACAACGGCACATTAATCCCAAATCATCCTACGTTAGAGTTGGTGTATGTCTGGTGAAGGGAGGAGACCCCATCTTATTTATCTCCTGGGGCCCCCCCACGCATAAGGAAGGTAGATATGTGGCCATGAGCAACAGCAATAAACAAGTAAAAGCAAAATACCAGTGAGTTAAACTTGGAGCACCTGAATTAGTACCCACCAATGGTCTTTACATACACTGGGCAGTCAGCAATCAAGCTAAATTTTATTTATGGAAGTTTTTACATTTTTCCTTTCATGGCAAGTTCTAAAATTACTAGAGTCGGTACCCAGAAGCAGAACAGGGTGGAGGTTGGGAGTGTGGACTCCTCCCTCGTAAATCACTCAACACCTGTGTCCAAATCTCCTTATTTGTAAAATGGAGATGATATTTATATCTTTTTCAGAGGGTTGCTATGAGGATTAAGCACGATGTGTAAAACAGCCAGCTAAGGCCTGGCATGTTCAATATCTATCAATACTACCTATTACTATGTATTCCATTTTATGTTTTCATGCAGTATTTCTAGAGCCAAAAATCACTAATCTCAAAAAAAGGTAACTCCAAATCATCAGTAGAAATTTAGATCATATGGAGTATAAATCAAGACACAAGAAAGCCCATTTAAAATAGTTTATAGGGACCAGCAGTTAGCATAATGACTATGTCGCTGGACTCCTATGTAGTCAACCACGGTTTGAGTCCTGGACCTGGTGGCTTAAACTCACGCCGTGTGCGTGCGCGTATGCGTACGTGCCCAAGATCCTGAGAGGAGAATGGAGGAGAAGGGATTGCGGCGTGGCCATCCCCCACTTGGGGGGTGATTTCTAGCTCTCTGTCTCTCTGTCTCTGTCTTTCTGGCGAGCGCATGCGCCCTATAGCAAAAACCTCTCAAAAAAAAAAATATATATATATAGTTTATAAAGATCTCCCTGGAAACATTTGTTTGAAAAGGCCCAGTACATAAAACCCCAAGTTATTTAGGTTATTAACTTACATTGAATGACTCGATTTACATGACATCTAATAATGAGGTTCTAATATTAAAGGTTATACAAGTCAGGGAAATGTGACCTCCGCTTCAATTTTGCAAGAACTAACATTTTTCCTAAACAAAGTACCAGGTGTTAGAGGCTTTAGCAATTAACCATGTCTGCCCATCTTGAAGTCAGAGAGCAAGCAGGGATGGAAGCCATAGACCATCTACGTGCCCCTCTCGGAAGGCTGCAGAAAACACATGTTCAATCTTAAAAAGAATTTACAGATGATAGAAATGAATGAATACCAAGGGCGTTTACTGACACTGATGACTCCACTGGAATAAACTCCCCCAGCAGTTGCTGTGTCTAATCTTGACAATGAAAGAGGCACCACACCTGAGTGACTTTAAGCTGACTCAGTACAGACACCTTAAGTGAAAAGCCTTACTTATATTTCGTACAAATGAAAGCCTCTGTATGCAACAGGTCATTTCTTACTGGGCCACAGCTGTAAAACGAGAGGGTTAGAGAAGGAATTTCTAGGATTCCTTCCAGATCTAAGTTCTTAATTTTGCAGTCTCTGCTGGGCCACGAAGCACGCATAAGGAGGGCAGGTATGTGGCCGTGTGCAACAGCAACAGACAAGCAAAAGCAAAATACTGGGTGCAGCTAAACTTGGAGAGACCAAATAAGTTTGGAGGAGTTAAACTTAGAATCATGGCAGTTAGGAAGAACGATCGCGGCTGAGGGACCGGCATGGATTGGGACCACTGGGAGTCCGAAAACTGCCTTTCCTACGGGCCATGACCATTGACCAGGGGAACACGCACACCCACAGATAAGGAACCCGACTCTGGGCTGGCTTGGCGTCCAGTTACCGTCCCAAAAATAAGTCCGTGCAAATAGGGTCGCAATCTTGGAAACACCAGAAGAAATGGATCCCCACCATTCTTCCAGGTACTCACACATTCCCGCCCGGACACCACTGACCCTCTTCCCAGCCTCTCCAGTCCTCCCAAGGCCGCTGACTCTGCAGCGGCAGCAGGATGGGGTCAGGCCGGGCTGAGTCCCGGGGCGGGGGCCACAGGGCGGGGCCCTGACGCGAGAACGAGTTCTGCGCCCACCTTGGTGCTGGGGTCCGCGTCGCAGCAGCAACTGAAGGCGGCCTCGTCAGTGAGGCCGCAGGGCTCGGGCTGCGGTTCTGCCATGGCCGCTCCGCTGTATCACCGACCACTGTACCGGGAACAGGACTGCGCTCACACCCGCCCGGCCCCTGTGCAGCCTTCACTAGCGACGCACGACTGCGCCGCGGGGCGGGCCCGAGGGCTCCCAGCCAATCGCCGCGCGGAGAGCAGTCGGCTCCCTGCTGAGTGTCCCCGTGAGTCAGCGCCCGGCCGGCTCCGAGCCCCGAGACTACAACTCCCACGGTGCCTTGTGCACACTGCAAGCAAACCTTAAAAAAAAAAAGTCTCCATGCTGAGAAGCTGGTTTCTCTGCTACTTAATGACCTGGTTCTGTTAGGGTTTAACTATTAAAGTTTAGTAACCACCCATGCCTCAGGCCTGCGGCTTGGTAGAAAATTATTAATAGAATCTGGTGTAAAGTGAGAATTGGGAGTTCTTTGTTTTTTATTTGTAAGCCTATGAAGCTTATTTTCTCAGTTTAAGCAGCACAGAGTAATTAAAACAACTCTGGTTAAGTCAAAAAACCGAGGTTCGAGTTTGGGTTCCACTATGTATTAGCTCTAGTAACTTGGAATAATTCCTGATCCTCTCTGAGCTTCCTTACAGCATTTAGTGAGAATAAAATGAAATTTAAGTAATGGTGTGACTACTCATGATCCAAATATCCATAACCTGACATTGACTTTGCTGAGGCATATATTTTAATCATATTCACTGGAAAGCTTAGTCATTACTGTATCTTCAATGCCTGGTTTATAGCAGATGTCAATAAACACTTCTTGGGACCAGCAGTTAGCATAATGGCTATGTCGCTGGACTCCCATGTAGTGGACCGCAGTTCGAGTCCCGGACCCAGTGGCTTAAGCTCATGCCGTGTGCGTGTGTGCCCAAGATCCCGAGAGGAGAATGGAGAAGGGTTTGCGGTGTGGCCATCTCCTCTAGGGGATGATTTCTCGCTTTCTGTCTCTGTCTCTCTTTTTTTTGGAGAGGTTTTCGCTATAGGGTGCGTGGGCTCGCCAGACAGACAGAGAGACAGAAAGCGAGAAATCACCCCCCAGGGGGGATGGCCACACAGCAATCCCTTCTCCATTCTCTCGGGATCTTGAGCATGCATGCACATGCGCCTGGCATGAGTTTTAATCCACCGAGTCCGGGATGTGAACTGTGGTCGACTACGTGGGAGTCCAGCGACATGGCCATTACACTAACTGCTGGTCCCTGTCTCTCTCTGTCTTTTTTTTTTTATATATAGACCACAGATTAGTTTATTTTTAACACCCATCATGCCATGAATTCATAGGGAATAGGTTCCAGTAACTCAGGCTCCTTTCCATTGGTTCTCACAAAGTGTGCTTCTCTGGGTGGAGCAGGCTGGCGCTTTAGTTGAACCCAGGTACCTTTCTCTTTGGCTTCTTTCTTTTTCTGGTCATTTTCCTTCACATATTTTAGGAAGCTATCTCTGCGCTTAGAATGTTTAATATGCTCAATATGCACATTGATTCTCTTGGCAAGAATCTTGCCCTTAACTTGTTTGTTCACAACAATGCCAACAGCATGCTGGGTAACATTGTAGACTCTTCCAGTTTTGCCATGGTAACATCTGTGGGGCATTTCTTTTTGAACAGTACCCATTCCCTTAATACACCCCCTAAAACAAAACCCACCAAAAAAAAAAAAAAAAAAAAAAAAAAAGAATAAACACCTCCTATTGTTAGAAGAATAAATGGGAATGACTGATATAAATTACTTTAGAAAGAGACATTATATTAGTAGATGAAGAATGAGTGAGGTTTGACTGAGTTAAGTATGAGACCCTATCTAAATATTCAAGACAGATGGATGTCAGGATTTGAGTTATAAGGAACGGAAAAAATAGTTTTTTGTTTTTTTAATTGCCAAAGGGCATGTGCAATTACAGGAGAAAGACAGAGATAAAGCGTTTCCTCCACCCCATGGAACACGGTCATGTTGCAATCTTGTCTCCTCCATTTCTCCCTCCTTTTGAGATTTTGGGCACATTTGCTCTGTGTGTTCCTCAAGCTGCTGGGTCTGGGACTCGAACTGCACTGTTGGTCATGTGGGATCCAGTTACCTTAACCACTAGACCATGGGGCTGATCCTAAAATAGGGGTTTACTGGCTCATATAACCAAAATGAAGCAGGGCAAGAATGTGTATGGTACCAGCCACCTATCCACCACCAAAACGTCTTTCTCTTAGCTTCTTACTGCACCTCAGTTCCATTTTGTCACACACACTAGCTTCATGAGTCTAGAAAATAAATCTCTTCCTGGAACTCCAATTTGATAAAATCCATGAAGAAACTCTTATTGGCTTGACCTAGGACCTGTACTTATCCTGTGCTCATGACATTGTGATTGGCAGCCTGGATTAGAACAACCGGTCAGAGCTGGGAGTGGGGCAAAATGGTCCCCTAAGAGAAGAGAGGTGATCTTTTATAAGAAGGAAGAGTTGAGTTGATACACTAACAAAGCGGTTAAGCACTGTGTGTATAGAGGAGACTGAATCCTACATGGTCAACCAAGGTTCAAATCCCAGCTTGGACATGCATTCATGGTTTCCTGACAGGATGGAAAAGTAGAGGAAAAGGATTGCTATGTGACCAGTCATTCCGGGGTTCATTTTCTCTCTTTTTCTCTCTTCCTCTTTCTTTCCCCCCCTCCATCTCCTGCCTTCTCATGCACACTCCTGCTATCATACATAAAAACATAAACTTTAAAAAAAGAAAAGATAAGATGGAAGGGCTGCTAAGTAAACTGAACCATAGATGTCTCTTGCAAAAGGGTGGACAGAATAAGAATTGCAGCAGAGATTTTGTATATACCCGTTACTAACTTACCGAGGGTATGCCATCAAAACTCCGTGTACTACAAGCACAGAACATCAACATGGATTAGATCTCAGAGTTGTTAAACTCAGGAACTGAGGCAGTGTACAAACCCCCATGTGTACTACGTATTGCCACTCAGTTATTGAAAAGGCACCTCAGCTCTTTTTATTTCCCTCTAACCCCTTTGGAGAGCTTCCTAGAATATGTGAGAGAGAAACCATGTAATGGCTAGGAAGATTCAATATCACAAAATATCAATTCATTTATACATGAATTCATTAATACAATGTGATTCCAATAAAATTCGGACAGGGTTTTTTTTTATAAAACAAGATAAGCTGATTCTAGAGTCTACAGTATTTTTAGGACCCAAACAGCCAAGACATACAGAAAAATAATTCATACTTCACCAGACTTCTTAGTATAAAGCCACAGTCATTAAGACAGTATGGGGTCAGCAGTATGGTGGTTAAGGCACTGCATTCCCATGGTTTGAGCCCCAGACCTGGTAACTTGAAAATCACACCAGGTATGTGTGTGTACATGCTCAAAACTCCAAGAGGAGAGAGGAGAAAGAAGGAGAAGGGAATGTGGTGTAGACATCACATCCCCACGGGTGTGTGTGTGTGTGTGTGTGTGTGTGTGTGTGTGTGGTGATTTCTCACTTTCTCTCTCTCTTCTTTCTCTTTCTGGTGAGTACACGCACCCTATGGCAAAAACCTAACAAACAAACAAAAAAGACAGCATGATATCAGGCCAACCAGTCGCTTGGTGGTCAAGGCAGCTGGTTCCCACACGGCCAAATGCACTGTTTGAGTGTCAGACCCAGTGGCTTGAAAAACATGCTGGGCATGAGTGCGTGTGAGTCCCAAATCCCTAGAATGGATTGCAGTGTGGCCATTCCCCCGGGCAAGGGAGTGCCTCTTCATTGCCTGTTCTCTCTCTCTCATGTGAATACACACATCCAATGGCACATTAAAAAAATAAAAGATAGAATAGTATAGACCAACAAATACTACCTATGGTAGAGAGCTCACAGGGGCCCAGTGATTCCTACCACCTGGTATTCACACTTTGTGCCATCCCTGACTCTCAAGTGTGGGCTGGATTTACTTAACTCTAACGAACAGGATATGACAGACGTGAAGAAATATCACTTCTGAGATTCGATTGTGAAAAGGCTGTGATTCTTGTCTTGGGAACTCTCTCCTACTTCCTTTTTCTCTGATTTCTCCCTCTGAGGGTAAGCAAGCTGCCACATAGTGAGCAACACAGTGGAGACATTTGTGGGGCAAGGAACAGGCCCAGAGTTAGATCTTAATGTTGAGAAAAACTGCTCTAATTTTCTGGTAAATAAGGAAATGCAGTTTAATATAAAGATGAAGTTTCTTGGGCCAGCAGGTGGCATGGAGGTTAAGGCATTGAATCCTACATAGCCAACTGTGTGGTTCAAGTCCTGGACCCAGCAGCTTGAAAGTTATGTCTGGTGTGTGTGTGTGTGTGTGTGTTTGTGTGTGTGTGCGCGCCCAGAATCCTGAGAGGAGAACGAAGAAGAAGAGACTGTGGTGTGGCGATTCTCCCTGGGAAGTGATTTCTCACTTTCCCTCTCTCTCTCCCTGGTAAGCACATAAGCCCTATAGCAAAAAAATCTAAAAAAAAAAAAAAAAAAGATTGTTTCTTTTATTGACAGAAAAAAATTTTTGAGAGGTTTTTGCTGGAACCAGCAGTTGGTGTAATGGTTGTGTTGTGGTCAACCACAGTCCGAGTCCCGGACTCTGCAGCTTAACTCACGCCGGGCACGTGTGCGTGTGTGCCCAAGATCCCAAGAGGAGAATGGAGGAGAAGGGATTGTGGCGTGGTCATCTCCCCTGGGGGATGATTTCTCGCTTTCTGTCTCTCTGTCTCTCTCTGTCTGGAGTGCATGCGCCCTATAGCAAAAACCTCTCAAAAAAAAAAAGAGAGGTTTTTGTTATAGGGCGCATGTGCTCGCCAGAAAAACAGAGAGACAGAAAGCAAGAAATCAACCCCTGTGGGGGATGGCCACAATGCAATACCTTCTCCTCCATTCTCCTCTTGGGATCTTGGGCATGCACGCACGTGTGCCTGGCGTGACTTTAAGCTGCCGGGTCCGGGACTCGAACAGTAGTCGACTACATGGGAGTCCAGTGACATAGCCATTATGCCAACTGCTGGTCCCCAGATCGACAGAAATTTATAAAATGAAAATCTGGGCCAGCAGATGGCATAACAGGCATGTCACTGGACTCCCACAT